TCTTCTGCTTACACTCCACCAATATCAATGCAATGATCATTGCCTTGTCCCCTTTTGCTAATGCATGTAAGTGAAACACTCAGATTTCAAAAGCTGCAGTCTAGTCAGCATATATACATATAACTATGTCATATTATAATACTTAGATGTATTACATACATTTTTAATTGGTACGTTACATTTGCACCTCTAGACAGGATCTTGAAATTCACAGCTTTCTAGATGGGAGACAGCACAATTTTAAACATCTGGCTTCTATATTAAGCAAGTGTGTGAAAAAAAGTGTCCGTAAAAATGTCATGGTCCAGGAAAGTTGCCAAAAAAGCAGCTGGAACCCTATATTTTTGACCCAGAAACAGAACATGAAACTTTGTACTCTTGCCCTCAGCCTCCTCAGCATGCTGAACTGCAGCCTAGTTCTAACCTTGGAGCAGTGAGCGCATTGGCTTCTTCTTTGTGCGACGCTTTACGAAACACTTGTCTGAACCACAATCACAAACACTTTGCCCTGCTCCACTTGTGTAACCACATTCAGAAATAGCTTCATGGCTTATATGATAAAAACAGTTCTTCACAAAGCCACATTAGCAACTATTTTCTAGTCTTGCTAATCCTGGCAGAAAACCTACCAAGCAAGTGAAAAACTCCAAGATCCTATTCTCCACACAATTGTGTATTTCCACTTATTTCAGAGATTCCTGTTCTTTATAATAAGTCTGGTGTAACACCTTCAGTCTATGTAAACTTTTCACAGCAATTTTAGCTTAGTCTTTTTGATTTGTGTCTAAATTTATATTAGCATATATACACACACACTAAACAACACACATTTAGAAAGACAAGGACTGAAGTATGAGACAACACACAAGCAACCCTCTGGGGCTGTTGATACCCTAACTTCAACATTTTCTAATTTAAAATGTACTTTTGAATGTAACTTCTTAAAATGATCAGTCCAAACACATGAACTCAGCCTGCACAGTTCCTAGCCAGAGACTTGTCCTAGCACGGAAACACGGTGACTCTTGTAGCTTACTTGGGCAGAGAAGCAGCTGCCAGTAATGATATCCCAGGGTTGATAGTGCAGCAATACCTATTATATTATATGCACAGTTCAGACCAACTGCTGCTTTTATTTTATACCTTTTTCTGTGTGTGCGTGTACATCCAGAGTCACATGCACTCAAGCAAAGCCAAAGAAAACTTGTCCATTATTAACCTCAAAGTGGCCCCTGAAATACATTCCTTTCTCTTTCATACTTTCTACTGCAAGCAGATCTATGGAAAAGAAAAATTGCCCGTATTTCTTAATGTAGTGAGGTTTGTGAGAAGTTACTATTTTCACCACATCAGTCAGGAAAAAAATTAGACACTGTGTTCACAGAAAACCTTACCAGATCTAAAACAGAGGCAAGAAGCATGAGGTTAATTACAGCTTCAAAATAACTGCTCTAAGTTTAAATTGTCAGTATGTACTGCCACAAAACAATGATGTTAAATGTTGGTGACGTTCACAAGGCAGTGAATAACTGGTCTGGACTTCCAGATTATGCAGATAGAACAGTTTTGTATGTGGGAGCAAACGCAGACCCCTTACGTTTCCTTCCCTTGCTCTTTATTATGTTGCACTTAACAAATAAAAGGTGCTGCCTCTTCCAAAAGCCCCCTTCCAATTTTTAGTCTTCTAGACTACTGCTTCTAGTTGCTATCTGACTGAGGAGTCTTCACACTTTTCATTCCCACCCAGTTTATTCCAATCTGAGTTCAGAGTTGCCTTCTCAAGGTAAAACTTCTTCATGCACTCACTGTGTCTAGCTTCTGAGATAACCACTCTGGGAGTCACTTCACCTGCTCTGCCCATCAGCCCTGTTGCCCTCTAAACATCCAGAAGACTGGGAAAATGGCTGATGTTTACAAAGGGAATAACAGTGCTCAAAAGTGCTCTGACACCATACATGTATGCAAGACAGTGTATTTAGCTTTATAATAATGTTCTTGTATAACCAGCATCCAGAAATAATTACATAATTTTGAGAGGTTCATTACACAATAAATGGGCAGAAATGGGACTCTGTACCATACTTGCTGTGCTGCCCTGACCTTTATTCATGTGACAAATCATTAGATGACAGAAAGGGAAGGAGGGAATGAGATCACGCCTGTCTTAATTAATCCTTAATTAGCCTCCACATTTCCAAAGGCCACACAGCATATGAAATTCATGAAAACAATTTCATTCTCAGAAGAATTAGGTATAGCATCATCAGGTCCTACCAGAAAATTCAGAGACTCAAGGTTATCCTTTCTCAGTAGGTAAAATTTTTTTGCCACTCTGCTGTCAAGAACTACCTAAACAACAGGAAGGAAACTACTCAAGCTCTTCAAGGAATTGAAGGAAAACAAAAACTTTAGTACATTGCTGGCAACAAAGGTTTAGGTCTGAATTTCTTAATTTATAGGAGACTTGAGAACCAAAATATGACTGCAGTCTAGTTTAGTGATATGGCTGCTGCTTAAGACATCGTAGTCACTCTGATGTTTACTTGACCCTTCTTTCATAAAAACTCAAAAGCTTTTTGTCAGTATCAAGGGTAAAAGATAAAAGACTGATTGCTTAACTTTCTCTTAGAACATTATAATCAGGTCTCGCCATCTAAAGGGAAAAATGATAGTTTGGGTTGGTCAGGAACCAGAGACTCTCCGGTTTTACACTGGCTTAGCTAAGATTAGAATTTGATCTATTAAAGTGATTTGTTGAGACACGCTGCGTGAAAGAAAAAAAAGCTCAACAAGATGAAACTTTATAAGGCTGTTTGCTGCCCACCAGCTGTTGGCCAGCCCCCAGAGCAAACAAAGGCAACCAAGAGAGTGGAGGACACCATCTAGTGGCTGGTTCCCACCCCTGGGCGCATGTCTAGCACATGCTACAGACCTGCAAGCTCAGAAACTCCTGCTTGGCAACGCTGTCCTCGCAGGAGCACATTTGAAAACAGTATCAGAGAGCTGACTGGCCCTGTCAGAGTGGAGGGAGAGTGTTACAGGTAAGGAAGGTATCTTGAAGTTGGGACCCGGGGCTCTAAGCCCTCTGTGAACACTCCTGTTACCTTGTAATTATCAGCACTGCTCCCAGGCTGAGCAGAAGTAACAGCCCTGCAGTAGCAGAGAAGTAGGGAGGAGAGGAAGGAGACTCAGTTTTCAGTAAAGAGAGTTCATTCATCAAAGTCCTTTCCTCCCTGTTCCGAGCTGTCTGCCTCTTCCTACCACAATCAATCTTTTCCTTCCAGCAACCCTCTCAGAAAAATATTTCAGATAAGAGGCTGATACACAACATCTACCATTACAGTTCCAAAACCAGATACTACCAGGGCATTTATTCCACCATGGCAATTTCCAACATCTACTTTATGGCTGCCACGTTTTCCTCCTCTCACCCCCAAGTTTCACAGACCCCTGTCTCCTCAAAACTCCACTGTAAACTCTCAACCTTTGGCCACTTCTGACTCCTTGAAGAAATCAGAAGAGTTTGTCAGATAAAATTTTGTGCTGCCTCTCCATCTTTGTTCCTTACTATTTGGGAACTAATAATCAAAAGCATAATTAGCAGTAGGATGGCATGGCTAATTGATCCGGGATCTAAGTCCCAGTGATTTCAGATCTTTGCTGGTTCTTTAAGGAACTTTCTATCAGATTTCAAATGAGATTCATTTTCTGAACCTTGTTTTTCCAGCTTATGGAATATGTCTAAGGACAGGCTAAATCCTTATTTACTATTCACTAGTTTCTAAAATTCTATTTTAAAAATTAGAATTGGACTTCTAGCATTGCTCAAGTATTTATCTTCCAAGCCACAGATCATTTTCTTTCTATAACAGAGCAATAAAACCCATTCTAATTGCACTATCTGACAGATCAAAGTGAGATTCTGAAGATGTCAGCTTGCCACAGAAGTAGATTAAAACACAAGCCTGCTCTCAGAAATGACAGTGACCTTCAGTAGAAGCAGGAATGCAAGCTCTAGACATACAAACTGCATAAAGTCAAGTCTGAGCAAACTGATTTGGTTACTGCTACAGAGCTACATATGGTACATATGGTACAAGATTCCACACAAGACAGTTTATAATGCCTTAAGCAAGACTTAAGCAGCTGTCTATGTTAGTGTAGCTTGGCAGCATCTGCTACCAGTCAAGTCCAGGCAGGTGTATCTGTAGTGCTCCACCATGCCCAGGATAAACATTGATTTGGTGTCAAAAACAGGGGCTGGCTGTTGGTATGAAGATTCACAAGTCACAGAAAGAGACATTTGGTCAAATGCCTCTTGGTCTAGACAAGAGACATCCTCATGCAAAACAGTTAAGCAGCAGTTAGAGGTTTCTAATTGACTTCAGGGATTAGGAAGAGGCTCATAAGCACATTAAACTATCTGGAAATAGTAATTTATGCAGGAATGTACTGTTTTTCTTGCATTATCTGTTTAATCTAAATATTTTAATGCGATGTGTTTTGCTTTCTCCATTACATCAGCTAGAAATCTGGTCAAGTTTTAGCCTGCAGGTAAATGACTCTGAAAATATTTCACTTTCTTCCTAGCTTTCTCTTTTAGTAGGTACAGTTTTCCTTATTTAATACTGACTTGAAATATATGGCAGTATTAATTTCTGTAATTAGCAGGAAGCTAATATTTTAACATAAAATCCCCCCCCCAAAATGTAAATTTTAATGATCTTTTCTGATCAACAGTGTGCAAGAGAAAAGTTTTTTTCATATGGTCTTAGAGGAATAACATTTTTTATTTTTTTAGCTGCTCAGCTTCATTAATTTCCTTCTGCAAACTTCAGATGCAGTGAGAATCTGTGTCCGCAGACTAAATTCAGACTGCTTCAATGGTTTACACAGGCTTTGCTGTTTTCAGTCATTTTAGAATTAGTCTAAAACCACAAATGGCTGCAATGACCACAGAGCACGAACTTGTTCAGAACCCTGCCTCTCTCACTCTGCAGGAATACAGGATTTCAAGCTTTGAGCAGAGGCTGATGAATGAAATAGAATTCCGCCTGGAACGTACCCCAGTGGATGAATCAGATGATGAAGTCCAACACGAGGAAATCCCTACAGGCAAATACATAGCCCCAATCTTTGATAAGAGACTCAAGCACTTTCGGGTAATGGAAGGATCTCCTATCACATTCACTTGCAAAATAGTTGGAATACCTGTTCCCAAGGTAGGTCACTCCCTCTTTTCATGTTAAAGCAATGAAAATCAACTACCTGTTATTTTCTGTACCTCCTTCTGGGAGGTCTCACTCCAAACAACTTGGCTTGGTGGAGAGAGCTCTAAAACAAATTATTTCCCCCTCACTTTCTAAAACAACAATATCTGCTCCTGAGCCCATGTCAGGCCTTAAGGTATGGACTCTCTCACAACCACCTAACTCCAAGAGAACAGAACTTGATAAAACAAAAAAAAATTAACTTGTTAAGAAAGATTGTGACTGACCTGAGATAACCAGTAAGATGTCTGCAGCCAAGAAAAAAAAAATCAGGCAGACCCAGCTGTGTAAAAGAGAGATGCAATTTCTGAGCTCAACCTGGAATCATTCTATTTCACATTGTAACTGACTGGCAAATGTTATACCAATAATGTTCTAATATTTTTACTAGCAATTGGTGAGCTTATGTCATGTTCTTGTCTACACGTTTTCTAGTCACTATTCCACTGCAGAGCAAGTGTTAAGTGACTGGGGGTGGGTCTGATCACCACAGGTATACTGGTTCAAGGATGGCAAGCAGATTTCAAAGAAAAACCCGCATTTCAAAATGAACCGAGAAGGAGACGGAACATGTTCTTTACATATTGAAGCTTCTACTAATGACGATGATGGCAACTATACAATCATGGCTGCAAACCCTCAAGTAAGCTGTTTTATTTTCCTCTACAAAAATGCTTGTTTCATCTTTTTTCTAATATACGTTAATAGGAAGACAGACTAGGCCACCTCGTGTGACATCAAGCAGTGACTGTATCAAAATCAAATGCTTTAAAGGATAGGAAAGAAAACCATGTAATGAAGAATGATGAAACTGCTCCTCTGTTCTTACACATCCTGGTCACATTCATTAAAAACATTTTTTCACATTAGTAACTCCAGCACTATCTTCTGACCCCATCCTCTGTAGGTGATGGATACCTTTTGAGATATGGTGACAAGAGAGACATTGTATTTCAGGCAGAAAGAATAGAGAAGGGGAAATAAAAAGGTACATCCAACTGGGAAGCGGTATTGAACACAATTGTTCTTTATCTAGGATGCAAAGGCGTGGATCTGCAGATAACCTCATCCCCTCACACCGTTCTCCTTTACCCTGTGTGCTAGCTTAGCTGTTTATTTAGCAGTACACACAAGGAATCAGGCAACTCTTTCCAGTTGTGTTTTTTTTTCTCTTTTTTTCTGAACTATATTTCAGCCCAACTACTTCCCAGTTTCTGTGTGGCTGCATGAACAAATATGCTAGTACAAAGGTACTTGCAGCCATTACATGTGGAGACACAGTGGCAGGAATGAACAAGCAGGGACAGACACTGCTTGAACTGGTTTATGTAAGTAGCACCACTGCTAAAGGCACGGCCACAGCCTTGAAGAGTCTGAGAAACACAGAAAGAAACACCTGCCTCATCTGCACTCCACCACACAATTATAGCACCTGCTTTGAAAAAGTAGAATTTACACTGTAGTTCAGTTACTTCAAAAAATCCATCCTAATGCATTGTACATGTTAAATATTTCTACTGTAATATGAACTCAGCTATTAACCAACTATCAATTCTGTTTCCACTGTGATTTGCAGGGGAGAATCAGTTGTTCAGGCCACCTGATGGTTCAGAGTATTCCTGTTCGAGGCCGAGTATCCACAAATCAGCCTCACAGGTAAAAGGAAAGATAACTCCTTCAGACCTTCTTCATGCTTCTCACTGAAGACATTAAAAATAACTAGCTACTGTACTTCAGTTCTTACCATAACATGGAAATAACAGCAGCAGTTCCCTCCCAACAGGTCACTTCTACAAGGTAATATTTTTGAAGGTCATCTTCAAATATAGGGAAGTTGAACTGCAAAATATTATTTCATTTTCATATATTGCTGCAGAGGAATTAAAGGCAAGAGATGCATTAGTAAGATGAAATTCACATAAAAAAGCAAGAAGAGACGGACAGCTTGAGAATCCAATACTACACAAGATAGTTAACTTTATAATCTTTCTAAATTGAAAATATGCAAGTATTCAACTCCAATCTGTCCACTTTCTTTCTGCCCTTTTATATAGAACTCAAGCTACCTGTTCATCCTTTTCCACAATTTCTTTTCTTTTTTTTTAAGCATTAGGGAAAAAAAAAAAAAAAAAAAAAGAGTTTGACTTCCAAACATACACAAGCAATGTTTGTGTTGCAGAACACGACCCCGGGTGCCAGAAGGAGACAAAGAGGCAGTTCAAGAACGCTTTTTCAGGCCATACTTTCTACAGGCTCCAGGTGACATGGTGGCACATGAAGGACGACTTTGTAGGTTGGACTGTAAGGTATGAAAAGTTTCCTCTGTTCATTCTCACCTTCTCTCTCTCTCCATACAAGCATTGCTACAGGTTTTCATGTTCTTTATTGCATGCATGAACACTTTCTGTTCAAGTTTTAATGCTTGGTTTTTAAAGATTATTTTTTTTATTGCTACTCTCTCTGAGCTGATTCAGGGGATTTCTTTTCAACACATGCTGTATGGAATGGAGAACACAGAAAACACAACCCCAGAAATAGAAGGCTCACTTACAAGGTTGTTCAAATTACTAGATGTGTTCACCATGTTCTTTACGGGTCTGAACTCCAGAAGTTAATCTGGGAATGACAGGTCCTTCTGCACCATTAACAGATTCTTGAACTTAATCCAGAATAGCACAAAAGCATGAGAAAGAGAAGATTCAGCATGTTGTATTCTGTTCAAACAAATGTTCCCATTGTATTGGACTGAATTACTGAAGATTAATACTCCCTCAAAACAGGGAACAGATCCCAGTTCATTTTATGCTTCCCCAGCATGTAGAGATGCAGTAACATCACAATTTTCAGCTTCAAATCCCCATGAGAGAGCTGTCAGAGCTTAGAGTACACACACTGAACGTCCTGTTATTGCACAACTTTAAGAAACTCATCTGCTCCAACTTATTTTGGCAGTCTGTCTATGCCTAGTAGCACAGCAAAGGTGGTAGTCCTGACACTGACCTATTCCATGCCCCAGAATGTCTCCTACCCCGAAGAGGGTAGAGGCTCTAAAGCAGAAATTAATGCCCTGAAGATGAACAAGATTCATTATTACTTAATTTACGATGTAGTTTACTAGGGAGCATGCCAAAGAATTTGGTTATTCTTAGCTCTGCTATCCTGGCAGAGCTTATGAAGACTTAAAGCATGCTTGGTATTGCACAAACCTGGAAGACAGCAGTCCTCCTTCAGGCAAGGCCCACATCCCTCTTTCTCTGGTCTGTAAAATATTCTTTGGAAAGCAGCATTTCAGACATGAATAAGTACTTCTAGCTACCTTCAAGATGACAAAACGGTCTAATAATCTTTCTAAAAACATTTAATCTATAGTGTTCTAAAGCATTTAAGTTTAACAGCTACAAAAACTATATCACTCTTCATCACATTTTATGAAATAGGAAGTAATTTGTATGAAACTCTTTTTCATCTCTGTTAAACTGTGTGGTGGTTTAGACCCAGGGTTTTGATTTATACTTAGCACTAAAAAATAACCCCAAACTAGCAGATTACTGGAGTCTCTTGTGAATCTGATGCATAACCATATTTCTTCCTTTCTGACTAAGAAATATGTAGGCCTTTCACGGATTTTATTTTTTTTTTTCTCTTGGAATTTTGTTTCTTGTTGGTTTTCTGGTTTTCTCCCTTTTGGAACTAAGCAGGAAAACAGGAGCTGAGAAATGAAATTTTAGAAAAATCTTTCTGTTCTAGATTCTGACATAATTCGGATGGCATATGAAAATGAATGGATTTACTAAAATCTGTTGGTCAGTTGGACATGTGTCTTTAGCTGTTTCACTCTCTGTCAGGTGAGCGGGCTACCAACTCCAGAGCTGACGTGGCTTCTGAATGGCAAACCTGTGCTACCAGATGGCACCCACAAGATGCTGGTCAGAGAGACTGGAGTTCACTCCCTGCTTATTGATCCTCTCTCACAAAATGATGCTGGAACTTACACTTGCCTTGCCACTAATAAAACAGGACAAAATTCATTTAGTCTGGAGCTCACTGTTGTAGGTAAGAATCACTGAAAAACAAGTCACAAGGACAAACTTGCTTGTGCACACTTCTTCAAACATATCTTACTTAGTTT